ATTTTTTGCAGGTTTTAGAATGACTTCTACAGTATGATGAGCACAAAAATCGATTCGTAACAGAAATTGCAATAGATTCAGTTTGCATGATCGTGGCAGTGTGCTTGCACAGAGAGAAGGGAAGGAGAACAATGGGAGATAATATATGAGATGGGGGTGCAAAGAAGGTGGTCCCATGATGACAGCGATGGCAGTACGTACCTTCTTGTTCATGATGACGGGGCCCAGCTGGCAGTGGTCACCGACAAGCACCACCTGCTTGGCGCCCAGCACCAGCGGCAGCAGTGTCTCTGGCTCTGTCGCCTGCGTGCTCTCATCCACCAGCAGCTGCATGCAACAATTGCAAAAATTTCAAGCATTGAGACACAGACTGGAATGTGCAGCAGACAGGCGGTAGGTTGCAGAATAGGCATGCTGGTTATGGCATCAGATAAAGTGGAGATTTACATGACATATTTGAAGAGAATCTCACCTTGCGAAATCGGAAGGCAGATAGACGGGGATCGCCAGCACCCGCACAGGTCACGCACACCACATCCGCTGCCTGCGCAGATCCAACATCACAGGAGGGCTCACACTCCAAAATGGAGGTCAAGCTCAGCAGAGCAGCAGCTGTGTGGGTTTGCATGTTGATGGTTCCTGTAGTGCACAGTCAATAGACAGGTCTACATGTACAGCGGAAGAAATGCCCCTGATTTTGGCGTAGTAATGAACAGAGCCAGACCTGCAGCAGCTCGCGTTCGGTGGCGCGCTGCAGGGCGCGGTACTTGCGCTCATCTGCTGCGGATAGGTCGCCGTTATCCTCCTTCAGCTGCGCCAGCTTCCTCAGCTCGCCGCGGTCCTCCAGCTGCACGTTTGCCACCTGGCACACGCGTCGCAAGTGTGTCAAGCAGTCATCCCATCATATGATCCAATATCCTAGACTTCAATTTCAATGAAGGGAAGGTGCCCTACATCAAGCAGTATGGTGTGTTGCTGGCGTAGCTGGATCTTCATATTTTGCCTTCAAATCACAAATGAAAATATTGTGAAGTGAGATGGCAGGTTGGCTGACCTGGTAGTGGAGGGTCAGGGGTTCGACGGAGCCGGTCACAGTCTCGCGCGACTTGGCCATCACGCGGACCACCTTCAGGCCCGTCAGGGCGATGCGCTCCGCCAGCTGGTCTACCGCAACATTGCTGGGGGCGGCCACCAGCACCTGTATGGCCAGGCAGCAGAAGGCAAGCTTTATGCCTAGCATGTTTATTTGTGCACAATGAAGCAGATATGCCATCACTTTGGTCTATTGATCTGGACAGGGGCTCTTCAAGGCTATTTGACACATGCTGAAAGCTGCTACAGAATAGACGACCAATTTCTCCCCAAAACTCACAAGCACTTCAAATGCTAAAAAACAGGCTGCCAAGAGCATGCAAGCATGACAAAGCCTGCTGCAGTGCTGGGCGCACCTGGGTGTTGCGTCCCTGGCGGGCCATGTGGTAGACGAGGGTGGCGGAGGTGACGGTCTTGCCGGTGCCCGGGGGTCCTTGAATCAGGGACAGCGGTGCGGTGAGCACAGACTGGCAGGCCAGAATCTGCGATGGGTTGAGCTCGGGCAGGCCTGGCGCGGACAGCACGCTGGGCACTGTGGCCTTGATCGCCTGCGGAGCCACTTCATGCCCCAGCAGCCTGCATCAGTGGAAGCCACGCCTTCTGAGCCACTTCTGACACTGCACAGCATTGGGGAACATCCCGATGGACAAGAGAAACTGATGTGACAGTCTAACACTTTTGAGATGAAGATGAAGAACAACGTTGAGGATGGAAAAAGAACCAAACGCTGCAGAAGCACACAGCGGCAGGGGAAATACGAAGTTGTCCTCTGAAAGATGAAGATCAGTGCGCACCTGTGGTACAGGTAGCTGGAGACGGAGGTCTCATCGACGGCGAAGGTCTTGAGCGCGCGCTGCATGCGGTCAAAGCTGGTGCTCTTCCAAAGGTACTCCACCGTGAAGTCGATGGTGGTGTCGGTGGGCGGCTTGGTCCCCCCCTTCATCTCCAGCACCACCTCCTCTGACGCCTCATCCAGCTTGATCACTGTCCCTGTGCCCGTCCACGGCTTGAAGCTGGTCCCAGCGCATGTGTGCCTCAGCTGCAGCTCATCGCCTGCAATGTTCAACACTTGTGGGCTCAGAAGCTGATTTTTTGTGTGTGCTCCATGCAGAATTCTGGGTAATCGCAATTTTAAACGTTGATCGAGCAAGCAGCAAGGCAATACTAAACGTCAAAGGATACCATACTGCTGGCACCTGCTTTTGCAGAGACACTGATGTAATGCAACGCAACTGTGTGATCCTGTAAGCATGGGCACCTGTGGTGAGGCGGAGCTCGTTCTCGTCCTTGGGGAAGACGAAGCGGGCGATGGAGCGATGGTTGAGGGCGGTGTCCCAGCGCACGGTGATGCCGCGCCGCGCCTGCGCCTCCTTCATCTGGCGGTCATACTCCGCCTCCAGCTTCACCAGCGGCCCAAACACATTCTGGTACGCATACGCATCCTCATACCTGCACCATGGCCACATGCACTTCTTAGGCAACAGCAACAAAGCTCGGCGAAAGAGTACGCATGTAACATTTCCTTGTGCTATTCCTAAGTGCAGGCAAAACAAACCATGGATGGGGTCTATACAAGGCAACGGAGACAAGAGGGCTTACGTGAGGGCAACGGGAGCGGCCTCCTCATCTGCACTGGGCTTCTCGATCTCATCGACGGTGGCATTTGGGTTCTGGCGCCATGCATCCTCCAGAGCGGTGATCTGGGCCAAGCTCAAATGCCGGGCGCGCAGAACTTCCTGCAAGCACCATAGTGCGCATGCGTCAAAATCTCCCGAGAGGAGATCAGGGCAAATCAAAATTGATGTACAAACACTCCCTCATCAACCATGTCCTCAAATCCACTGGCTGGAGCATGCCAATCAGGCTTCTGTCAGAACACAGGGAAGGAGGAGAAGCAATGGCAGGCCAGTTGTGACCGGCCAAGAGCAGGGAATTGCAGACCTGATCTGAGGGCTGCTTGATGAGCCAGGGCACAAATGCGCGGTCCTCAATGAGGGGCTGCCACAGGGTGAGGTCCAGGGAGAGCTCCTTCAGACCTGGAGCATTGGCCGGGGTGTCCCTGCGCCCATCCTTAGCAACTTTAGCATCAAATACAAGTCCCAATGTTTTAGTGCAGAAGTCGTGCTTAGCTTTCCTAATTTATTTGCTGGTCACCAAACACATTATCAGGGCAACCAGAACTAGCTAAGGTATCGGCAATCATGCATAACACCCAAGACAATAAACATGAGGGGAGGAGAATAGCAGGCTTCTTGCGCCTCTTTTCTGAACTTGCTAAACATCTTCTAACCAGATTGAGAGATCGTGCTTGCCTGCAGAGCAGCACCACGCTGTTTTCGCTCTTGACAGGCACGAAGCCCAGTGCGAACGCGTTGCGCGCCCCACATGAGTAGCACTCCAGCAGGGTGTCCCCCAAAGGGCTGTCCTTGTGCAGCTGGCACTCCCTCACCCTCGCTTTCACCTGGTGCCAGCATACTCATACCCTCATCGCCACCTTCATAATTTTATTGGATGCTTGGAAATTTGCATCAGCCATCTCCATGTACGAGCTGTCCTGTCTTAACGAGATGCTCCAGCTGTTTTCAGACCATGTGAGTGGGAATTGCACCGGTAAAACCGCTAACGCTGCTGCAGAGGGAACGATGGAGAGACATGGCCGGCAGTTGTTCTCAAAACTTCATCCTTCGGCGCCAATAGCAGCATGATGCATTGGAAGCTCACCAGGTGGGTGACGATGCATGAGGCAGTGCCTGTCACGCGGCCATTGCAGAACCATTTTCCGCTCTTCACGCACTTCACGACACACGCAGCATTGTGGATTCCACAGTACCTGCAGAAACACAGGCTGTCAGCATCCTCAGTGGCTGCAGCCATCAAACTCACCTGATGCATGACAGCCCAGAACATCACATGATGGGAAAAGGGCAATGAAATGGATCAGAGGCTCACGTGCACGCCCACTCAGGGGTCTCCCTGGGCGCCTCTCTTGCTTGGTCATCATCAGCTCCCTCCTCAAAATTGAGCTGCGCATGCCAGGCAGTCCTGAGGACATGGTCAAGAACAGCTGTGCACGGCAGAGACCCAGACAGGCAGGAGAAGATGGATGCACAGTGTGCTAATCTCACCTCCACCAAGCTGTCTGTTACCACGCTGATGCTTGTCCTGTCTCCATTATGAGCCGATGAGTTTGCCTGAAGAGAAGAAGACACATGATATCAATAAAGGAACTGAACCGGGACGTGCTTTCATATGCTGATGTATGACGCATGCAGAAGTAGAAGTAGTTGCGCACCGCATTCCTTGGACCTGAGCCGTCACCGTCCCAAGCTGAAGAAGCACCACCATCCTGCAAGCCAGGTCACCTTACCTTCGAAACATAGCTTGCTGGTGAGCGATACAATATAGAACACCACTGGAATTGTAAAGAACCTGACGAGTTCTGCCATCTAAGAAACACGTCTCCTCGTTCGAACAGCACTCCCATCTGTTAGTACCATGGTGGCCTCAAAGCAAGTTTGTAACGAGCATGCTTCAAGCAAACCGAGATAGGGGGATCAAGTTCATGGAACACGCCTGTGTAAAAGCAGGATACCCTGTAGCAGTATCCTGGGTGTTATAATCAAGAAAGCTATATTGCAGACTGGTGTCAAGCTGCGAGGACTGTGTGCCGAAGTGCGCCTGCGTCTGTGGCCCTCTGCCAGGTAGATCTGAGGACATAATATACTTCAAACGCAATTGAACCTCGCCTTATTATTGAATCATTGATGAAACAGCATCCAAGGACTGAGGAATAGTTTCCCGATAGGGAACGCCGCCTGTGCACATGTGCGCGGTGCCCATTTTCCCACAAGCACCTTGTGTTCAGATGATTGATTGGGCTCCCAAAATTTTTGAAGGTCTTCGAGTGGCTAACACGGGTGTCAGTATAACATTGACATCTATAGAAAGAGAAAATATAGTTCACCGAAGGCAATAATTCCTGGCTGCATCTGTCGGGGGATCTAAACCTTGTAGACAAATTAAGAAGGCCCACGAGCAGCCATGCTGCCGCGAAGATCCGTCGCGATTGCTTTGATCGGATGCTTCGTCGTTCTTTGCGTGGATCATGCGGCAGCTGTCAACAAGAAAGTCCCCTCAGGTGGGAAAGCCGTGCTCAGCCGAACCTGTATATTATAACGATCTAACTAATGTCCCTATTGCGATGAGACGATTGATTGCCTTGCTTTGAGTTTACGGCGATGGCCGTAGATTAGCAAAGTGTCTTCGAGAGTCCGCACTTCTGGTGTATATCACAAGATCTCGCCGCAGATCGACCTGGACAGCAAACGAGTCTGATGCTCGGCTCTTGGATTGCAGGTACTGCAGTAACAGCAAAACAAGCCAGGCTGAAGAAAGAAAGCGCAGAGAAGTGTGACGACAGCAATGCTGAGCACTGTTACGACCACACAGCCAACGTAGGCATTGGGCCCATCAAGGTGTCCGAGAAGTTCCCGGCTGCCGATCAGTCAACTTACGACTACAGCGAGGTCCTGCACAAGTCCTTCTTGTTCTACTTCCAGCAGCGCTCCGGCAAATTGCCTCACCAGGTGCGCCAGCCCACCCAATAAGACACCTCGAGGGCGAGTGAGTGGTGCCTGTAGGCGCTGTTAATATTGTACACTTGGCAACACTGCGCATGGATCTGCCCAGGACTGTCCTTGTCTATCATAAAGTTTAGCAAAACGTACTACGGGTTTCTCAGTCAGAGGTCAACCCTGCTTCACTGACAGCCTCTTTTATTTGCATTCTGACTTGGAAGGATGTGTGTGTGTATGGGGCAGAGGCTAGCGTGGAGGACCGACTCATGCGCGGAGTGCAAGGGTCCGAGCGGGGAGGACCTGAGCGGCGGTTACTATGAGGCTGGTGGCTCCTACCTCAAATTCAGCTTTCCCACAGCCTTCACCATCACTCAGCTCGCCTGGGGCGTCGTCGAGTACCGCAGCGGCTACGAGAAGGTGCGCTGGAGCTGATCAGCTGATCTGCTGGCTTTGCTACCCCCAATGTCACTGAGTAGGCTATTCTTCTGTTAGATTACTGAATGAGGACAATCAGTGAAGGCCAGGGTAAGGTGCGAAGGTCCCCTCCCAAAATGTTTAAATCGCAGATGAGCTCATCAAAGCATATATCTGCAGGTGGGTGAGCTGCAAGAGGCGCTGGACGCCATCAAGTGGGGCACAGACTACCTGCTCAACTGCCACGTGGAGCCCACAAAGTTTGTCGCCATGTACGGGTCTTCCGAGGTGAGTGATCTCCGATGTGTTTTCCTTTTGCAGACCTCTGCATGCATGACACAGTTGCAATCGAAATCATGGCCTTCAATACTTCGGAAGGCTCCCTGGTGTGATTTACAAGATCGCGGAGAGGGAAGAAAGTTTGGGCCGATTCTTTGTAAGACGTGCACTATCAGCGATGTTGACGTATAAGTGCGGCGGCGCTGCGCAGGTGGACTTTGGCTACTTTGGACCTCCGGAGGAGCACCTGCAGTGGACGCAGGAGGAGCGCGAGGTGACCTACATCACCCCGGAGGACCCCTCGTCAGAGATATGCGGAGAAGTCGCTGCCGCATTTGCCGCCTCCTCCCTGGCTCTGCGCGACACCCACCCTGAGTGCGTACCTGCCCCTGGCCCACATGCGATAAAATATGTGACAATGTTTGCATATGATCGCTCTAAAATGTAACCTGACTGCCATGCATGGCACAAGAAAACACAGGGCACCTAACCTCAAAAGAACATTGTGAGACAAATGCAAAGCAATGGGAGTGACATAGCACCCAATCACATTCTTTTGCACGTCTGAGTAATTATTCAAAGGGATTAGGGAGGGAAGGCAGTGCAGTGAAAGTGGGATGGAATGGCAGGTATGCGGACAAGCTGGTGGAGCACGCAAAGCAGATGCTGGAGTTTGGCATGGAGCACCCGGGCAGCTACATGAAGAGCCAGCTGGAGGGGCTGAAGGACCACGGCAAGCACTACCCCAGCACGAACTACAATGATGAGATGGCCCTGGGCGCCGTCTGGCTCTACTTTGCCACAGGGGTAAGATACTGCCCTGTTCATCTCCTGCTCTGCCACCCCTGCACCTTGTGTTTTGCTGCTGCTGCTGCTGCTGCTGCTGCTGCTGCTGCTGCTGCTGCTGCTGCTGCTGCAAAGAAACCCCCGCTTGCTTTGCAATTAAAAGTGGTATGTACAAACGGGTGACATGTTTGCTGTGTGTGACAGGAGGACGAGTACCTGCAGACTGCCACCATGTACTATGACAAGCTGAACTCGTGGAAGGCGGACAATTACGCGTTCGACTGGGACAACAAGTCCCCCGCCCTCCATGTGCTGCTCACCCAGATCTACCCCTCCGAGATGATGAAGTGCGCACTTCCTCATTGTTTGCCACCTGGAGTAGAAAATAAATGTTGTCTGCATAACACACGGTGATGTGCTTTCCATGAGGGAACGGGAAATCACTAATCTCTGGGGCCTTATGAAAGGAAGAGTAAAATACCAACATGGCAGTGTTGCAAAGTAAAAGTATGGCTCTGACAAGAGTGCGTTGCTGCTGCAGGTACGGCGTGAATGCAAAGCAGTACTTTGAGGAGTACCTTCCGGGCCCCAAGCGCACCGTCTTCCACACAAAGAAGGGACTCTCCTGGAGGAATGCGTGGGGCGTGCTGCGTTACTCTGCCAACAACGCATTCCTGGCCTTCGTGCACAGCGCCCAGATGAAGGAGCAGGTATGGTGCATTGCGCACATGATGTGCATACGATCTTGAGCATTTGAGTTTGTTCAACTGCTTTACTGAAATCTCATTTGCATGTTGCAAGGGACACTCCAGGATGTGTTCAATGATTGACTGGTTTGTGCAACTGTTGCAGGGTGATGAGGCATACGCAGCCACCCTCTTCACCTACGCCACACAGCAGATCAACTACATGCTGGGCGACAGTGGCCGCTCCTTTGTGGTCGGCTTTGGCAAGACACCTCCCAGCACTCCTTTCCACAAGTGGTGCGTCGTCCTTTCACGTGCCTTGCAAAAATTGTGCCAGGAATATTTGTGTTGTGCCGTAATCTCAACATTCAAACATCATGTCAACCTGCTGGTGCTGCTCAGTGCTCACAGTTATCATGCACAATGGACGCGGCCATTTTGGATTCACCCGTGAGAACTTTTCACATTGCCATGGTATATGACATTGTGTCCAGGTCGTCTTATGATTGTCGTTGATTGGTGTGTTTTTCATGACAGGTCCTTTAACTCTTACATTGACTACCCCACCCGCGGCCAGAGCTATGAGATTCAGCACGACGAGTTCCACAACACCGACACTCCCAACAAGTTCCTGGCCTACGGTGCTCTCGTTGGCGGGCCCAACGCCGATGACACGTGAGTCCTCATCTCTTCTGACAGCCAACCAGAAGCGGCATCTATCACCAAGACATCTTCTGCAATCTAATACAAAGACTGCATTGATGTGGGAACCCCTCATTTAATCACAGAATCAAGCCAGTCCAGATTTCTCTCCGGACACCTCAGATGTTTACTGTATAGGCTCCTGCCTATATTATTGAGGCTTGTCACAGCCTGAACATGAAGACAGCAGAGGAAGTGCCTATGCTTCCTTCTGTGCATACACTAGGGAGGAGAGTCTTGACAGGCTGGAATGCCATGCAGGTTCGAGGACTCGCGCGGCTGGTGCTGCGCAGCATACAACGAGGTTGCCGTCGACTACAACGCTGCATTCACCGGCGCTCTGGCGCGCCTGGTCGACTACTACACCGACATGCAGCCCTTCTCCGACTGCACCCTCGACCTGGGGTGGACCCACTCCAACGCCACCCAGGTGCGCCAGACCCTTGTACGTGTAGCTTTACGTTGCAAATTCTGGTCCCTTTTCCTCCGGCTGATGCAGAACAGAAGAGCCTATGCCACTGCATGCTGGGCTGGTGAGCTCCCTGTGTGATTCTGTTGTGCAAGGGTGTGCTTGAGAAAGTGTGTGTGTGTAGGCAAAGAGGCCAAACTGGCCCGCTGATGACTGCTACCACGCGTGCTGCGAGGGCGCAGCCAGGCCCACCGTCCGCAAGGAGATTGCCTCCCCCACAACTACCAAGGCGGTAGCCAAGCAGGCTGCCAAGGAGGCAGCTGTCAAGGAGTCTGCGAAGATTGTAGAGGCCACTGCAGAGGCCACAGAAGCCAAGACTGAGGAACAGGTGCCACTGGCGCTAGCCTTCCTTCTTATTTACTTGTCACCCAGGATAAGCACTCTGTTGCATGGCAAGAGAAACTGGGGGATTTTAAGCCAAGAAGGAGCGCAAGACATACAAGGGAGTGCAAGACATACAAGGCTGTCCGAGCGCCATGTAGACAGAGAAAGCTGCAGCGTACAAGACACCTCTGGCCCAGGAGCACAATCGACAGCATCGACATTTACAGAAACTGAGTGCTTGCAGGCAAAGCCCACTGATGGCAAGGCGCACGCCGGCGGCCGGGGCGCAGAGCGCAAGCACCGCAGGAGCAAGGATGCCAAGGGCGGCCACAAAGACAGGCGGCAAGCGCGCATCGGCCTCTGATTCGTGACACCAGGCGTCTGATGTTTGTTGACAGTAGATGGCCAGTCACTGATTGGCACATGACAGGCGGTCAGAATAGAAGGTCCGCTGAAGATGCAAGATTTGAACAGATAACATACAGTGGAATAGGGAATGTCTTTGCCAGGACCTTTGCGTTGTGGTGCATCATAGCACAGATTTGGTGATATCATATCAGACTGTCAGACATAGAAGTTGAGCGCAGTTGTCTGTCTTTCCAGGAACTTGCAGCATGGCAATCTTGATTCTCTTCCCCTGCAGGGCATGCGCAAGCAGTGTACACTGTCTTGCTTGTTGCCAGCTGGCATCATCTGACATTCATTTGTGCCGGCCTGTACCAACAATGAATTCTGATCTTGTGATTGTAATTGTGACACTGCTATTTCCCTGAACCCGGGCAATATAATTATAAAGTCAAATCAATCTGACAAGGTGCCATACAGTCTGACATGCAAAAACGACAAGAATTCAATTCAGTTGAACAGGAATCACTTTGAGGTGTTAAGTCCGCTGCGCAAGCTCTGGGCCTTCCCTAACACAATTGCGTTCTTTTCATTCTTCAGAAGTTCATCTAACACGTTCACTGATGGATTTTGTATGACTGATGCGTCAACCCCAGCATCCGAGGCGGCCTTCACAATTGAGGAGAGGGCGTCCAGCGCTGCAATCCTCAGCTGTGAGATTCGCGCCTCCTTTGTGCAATCAAGAACCCCTGATCATGCACAAGAACAGTGTCAACAGAGTCCTGCAAATAGATTGTTCTATGTCTTACAAATACCTGCACATCAACCCCATGAACTCAATGACACAATCAGTGCCTGGAATCGCTTCATGTGCATGTCTGTCTGCATCATGCGTTCCAATCTTGCATGAGTGCCTACCTGGCAGAAGGAAGACAAGCAGATTGTGCACCTCTGCTTTAATACTGCCTGCCTCACTGACTTGCTGCTGTCTGCTGACGCTGCTCAGCTGCGCCACATAATCGCTTACCAGAGGCAGCACCATTGCCCGCTGAGCCCAGGGCCGCTCTGCAGCAAATAGGAATTGTGTGAGGGCCCCCGAACTCCTTGCAATTTACAAGCACACACAAGTAATGAACTGCAGGATGGCAATGTCTGATACAGGTGAAAATCCTTGAGAAATACCACATGTTTCATTCACGATTTACTGAGGTCGTCCCGGCAATGGTGGACCAGTGGGTTAAATGACAGGTGGGTTTCAACTTCAGACTGCCTCAAACTTAAAAAAGACTCAGGGAGGGAGGGAGGGAGAAGCGGACCTGGTGAGAGTGCAAGCAGAACAGCATCTGCAACGCTGGTACCATGCGCAAGTATGGATGGGAGTGTGGAGTGCTGCCACGCAGCGACCAGACACTGCACAGTATCAGCCAGCGGCGCAGGCTTGGCCGCGGGAGCCTCCTCGTCCCCATCATTTCCCTTCTGCATGCACAAGAAATCAAGCGCTGAGACATTTAGCATGCACAGCTCCATCTAAATAACAGTGCAGAATGTGGGTACTTGTAGCCTTCCTCCAATGCCTTGAAGACATTGACTACATCCGACAGTCCGTCTTACACAACTTGATACCAAAGGAGCGCACCGGTTTTGGTGTGCTGGCAGCGGCCTTGTGCTGCTCCACGATTGCTAGGAGCGGTGGGGCGACCTGACTGAGGTGGTCGCTTGGCAGTGCTGCCAGCACCTTCTGCAGCGCTGCAAGCGCTGCTGTCTGGAAGGCAGCCTTCTTGCGGTCCACAGCACCTGCACGCATCATAGCACTATTTGTCCCTTTTAAATTGTGCTTGTATCCATCGGACGGGCTAGAGTATCAAGAAGAAGCACTATCACATTCGAGGAATCGCATGTTTCCATAATGTTGCCACATGCGCTACCGAAATGCCTCACAGAGATAGAAATAATGAAATAAGCCGGATGTGCGCCCACCCAGCAATGCAGTAATGACGGCATCGGGGGCTTGGAAGGCGGCAGGTTCTGCAGCAACCAGAGCCCCAAGCGCCTCTAAGACAGTCTCCTTGCCCTCCCACAGCCGTCCCGGCAGTTCCTGCACAGCCAATTTATTGCCTTAGGACCTGAGCAGCGAGTTTCTATCCCAGATCAGTGCTGCGCCTCACCAGAGACTGACACTGATCCGATGCATCAGACTATCCCATTTTACTGGGAAGTATTCAGCATTAAAACTCCATGTGACTCACCTGCATCAGTTGATCTCCGAGTTTTGCTGCATGAGCTGTCAGTGTCCCTGCTCCGCCCAACTCCACCAGTGACGCAACACTCTTGGCAGAGCCACTCTTGCGGCCCCACTGCTGCGACGCCAAACCTGCAGAAGCACACCGCATGCCTCAAAGAAGGCAAGCCAAAGTTCGAGCAATACCTGCCACTTCCACAGGCCCAATTCAAAAACCAAGTTGATCTGCCATGAGACTTTCAGGCGTTCCACAGATTGATATGTCAAACTTACTACTATGGGATAGTCAATCTTAGAACTGTGGTTGGAAGAAATGGCTTTCAGATATTTGATGTACCAGCATCAGGTCACCAAGCATGTAGTCGGGGTGCTCTCGCACCGTCGCAGATGAGAGGCACAATCTCTGGCATGTACAGGCGCACGGCTGCAGCAGCGCTGCCGGTGCCCTCCTCCCAGACCTCCTTCCAGAGGGCGGCCACGTCAGCGTCCTCGTCCTGGCACGCCACAAATGCCAGCGGCAGCGCGGCCGCAGCGTGCGCCGAAAACGTGTCGGGTGCACCGCGCACCAACTCGCGCAGCAGGAGCCCGGCCAGCTGGCGGGCCTCACGGTCGCCTGCAACCATATGCTGACTTTTGCCACTGGGACACTTTCGAAATGGTGTTGTCTGAATGAAGAACTACCTGAGTTCAAATATATGGTCACAGAAGAGGTGCTCTGCTTTTCTTTTTGGTTGCCATGAGGCCAGACGCACAGCTCAGTCAGGAGTGGGCCCATAAGGAGTGCATACCCGGCTCGGTGTACAGAGCAGTGGCTTCAGCCACAAACTTGGCGGCCCTTGTCTCCGCGGCGTACTTGACGATTGTGGCCGCGGCTTGTGCATAGCTGCGCCTCACAGCTGTGCTGCGCTCATTGCGTGCAGCGCCAAGCACCGCCTGTGCAACACAGATAAATCCTGCCCTTGTTGATACGCTCAATCATGTATCTTTCTGATTTATGAGAACACAAGGGTGCTCTATATGGGGCGCCAGTGGTCCTATAAGCGAGGATATAAAAGAAAGGCAACGATATGGATTCCTGTTTAGCATTACAACTGCTGTGCCCTCACAACAAATTTTTTCACCAGGATTTCTAATTATTGGGTGGCATGAAGGAACTACACGCAGGATGATGCGACCTCACACCTTAAGCAGGGTGCCCGTGTGGGGCCGGATGTCAGATCCCATGCGCGTGGCCAGGGAGGCAACGAAGCGAGCGGAGCCGACGCGAGTGTTGACGCCGACACCACGCTTGAGGAGTTGGCACAGGGCGGGAACGAGCGCCTCCAGGGAAGCCGCATCGGAGTAGCGTGCGCACAGGTCAAGCGTGTCGCTCATGGGCGAGCTCTTGGAGGCGGCCACGCGCAGATTCTCCAGCCGCCCGCTGTCCAGCCCAATGCGCTCCGCATGCTGCTCCACATAGTTCAGCCGCGTATCCTGCACATTGTCGTGTTCCCTGTTGGCTCCTAGGAGTAATAAAAGATCTCACTATGGATGCACCCGACTCAGCAGAAACAGAGCCGCTGGAAAAGATAAAGGATGGTGAAAGAAGCACACCTCCATGCCAGACAAGCTCTCGAGCATGGCGGGCACGAGCCGGGCAAGCTGTGGGCGGATGTGCTCCGCCCCCCCCTTCTCCACCATCTTGGCAATGGTAATCAGGCTGAGCGCCTGCACCTCCTTCACTGAGCTCCCCACACCTGCAATGTGGCATCCTTACTTTGGACAAGGTAGAGACTGAGCTGGTGACAGACGCAAGTCAGCAAAATTTTGAGGAGATTGCTGATGCATCATTTGCAGAGCAAATGGAAGAGAAGGAGTTCTGAGATTCTGCACACCTGTCTGCAGCAGGAAGGGGAGCATGAGTGCGACGGCCGCGGCGGCGTCGGCGGGCGACGTGGCAGCGGGGTCGGCCAGGCGGAGTGTGACGGAGCGCAGCGTGCGTAGCGCACCCCCGGCAGCCGTGCGCACGCTGTCCTTGATGTCGTCGCTGGCTCGCAGCACCATCACCCACATCTCCTCCAGCAGGTCCTTCACCTCCGGCCACCTCCGCCCCTGCCACACACAGAGCATCAGCTGATCTCTGAACCGAAAGGCTGCATTGCCAATGCAGCAAGATTTCCACAAAGAAGTAAAAGCATTGGTTTCATTGACAGTTACAGTCCGAGGTGAGCAATACTGCAGACCATGGACCGGCACTAAAAGAATCCTTCAAGTAGGGCTTAGTGGCCGTTTACTGGCTAATAAAGTTGCCCAACAGAACATAAGACTAACGAAGCAGAAGCCAAACCTGCAGCAGGTCGGCAAGGGCGGAGCAGGCGGCCTCACGGTTGCGCCACAGGCGGCCGCCCATGTCCTTCAGCAGCTCGCGCACCACCGCTGCAAAGTGCAAATCCAGCGCCTGTTTGGGGTCGTCGACAAGTGCGCGCCAGATATGTGTCATTGCGTCGCGCACGCGAGGATTGGGGTCATATTGATAACGGTACAGCTTGGGCACCAGTACTGCAATGTATGGCTGCAGCTGCTCCCCCGCCAGCTTTGCAATGGATGCAAACCTGTGACAGCCATATCATTTATTTCATGAGAACGGGCTTGCTTTGTCTTTGTTTGGATGGACATCACATAGCATAGAACTTTTAGGGCACCACACACACTCATGAAGTGGAATGGAAAAGCCCAGAAGACCTTGATCAACAATTTTGCGAGGGCACTCAAATACAATACATGCCAGAGGGGACTTGCAGCGCAACGCCTGGGCAAAGGCATTAGCAAAAGAGGCCAAAATGGGGGCTGATGCGCAGGGCGCACCCGTAGGCTGCGCCGCGGGTGGAGGCCATGGCGGAGGCATGGTTGGCCAGGTCCATGAAGCGCACGAGCAGGTCAGGCTGCCCCATCTCTGTGGCCAGCGCGCACAGCTCGCGGTACGTGGCCAGCGACCCGCCGCCCGGCGCCTCTCCCAGCTGCCCCTCCTCAAACACCTTGCTCTCCCCCGTCAGCTTCACCGCCCGCCGCTTCCTCGGCCCGCCTGATTACAGCGCGCAATATATCATGATGTAATCACGTGAAGGGGCAGAACATAACTTCATCAGAGCGAGCAAGCAAGTCATCCAGGAGCCTGGGACAAGTGTGCACACCTTGCAGGGTGCCCATCAGCGAGCTGAGCAGTTTCTCACGCGCCTCAGCGTCCCCCAGCTGGTAGATGACAGATAACCCCTGACTGGCCATCTCCTGTGGCAAGACAGCAAACACGATTTATTTTAAAAAAGCAGGCACGCTCCATATGACCGGCTCCTTTAACTCAGTGTCCTCGTGTTTGTATGACAAAGGCCACCCATTTTTTGCACAATCCAAATCAACCACAGTCTTTTTTGTAATGCATCACTCAAATAATGCAGCTGGCTTCGGCTGGCGGGGGGCGGTACAAATTTTGAGCACCGTGCCCACGGTTGATTGGGTCTTGCTGGGATCTGGCGAGTCCAACAAGGAGTAGGAGTGTGACGGCCTTTAGCTGCAGCTTGTCTGCAGAACGCACCTTGCCTCTTGGCAGGAAAAACGTCTAAGATCACCCAAAATCAAGCAGTGAGGCGAGGGCGTATGTGTGCCTACCTGTGCAATCTCGCTGCTGTCGCCCAGCAGGCTGGAGAAGGCCTCCTGGATGTCGGTCAGGCGCGCCAGCAGGCGCGGCTGTCGCCCTGTGAAGCGGCACAGTGATACCAGCCACACGCACGCCGCAGCACGCACGCCCTCCGTGGGATCATAAATGAGCTGGCCCAGGATGCGCTCCAGGATCTGCTCCTGAATTTGCCCCCGCTCGGGCGACACGCTACTTGCTTCCTGCTGCCCATCCACCTGCGGTGTACGAGCACAAGGGTGTCAAGGACATGCTCATTCTGTGGGCTCTCCTTTGCTGCAGCTGCTGCCATCAAAATAGGAGTCCAAGAATTCAAAAGACTGCATTGTAGCAAGCAAGCAAGTTGCAACAAGCAAGTAAGCTGTTCAATATATTTGCAAAAATGAGACAAATATCATATCTGGCAATGTGTTGTCCTAGTCTGCAACAGGAAAATGTCGCAGTCATGACACCACAGACCCCTGCGCATCACCTGCATAGGTTCTGCAGCACTGGAGGATGCAGCTTTCTCGGCCTCTGCAGCCTTTTCTATCTCCGCAAGTGACTGGTAGTTGGTGTACAGGACCGCGTCTGCGTTCACACTCAGGCCTGCACAATGCTCACACATACACTGGAGTGAGAAATAAAAAGACTGATAAGCTCCTATTCTCTATCAGTGCTAAACTTTGCTCCACCCACATACTTCAGACAGTCTTCAAAATGACAGGGAAGTGCACAAGTGCGCCTACCTCCAAATGCGAAGCAGAGTGCTTCACCCACTGCAAAGTGCAGCGCCTCTGACTTGATGGTGGAAGTTTTGATGATAGCCTCCAGGACGCCACTGAGCACGTCGCTTGAGGAATCACCATTGCACAGAAAGCCAGCAGCTGTGGCTGCGCGTGTGGCAACCTTTGCAGCCATAAAGTGAATTCATTAGATATCTTTCCCGTCGTCACTCCGTAATGCAACTTGCCAGGCGCTCAGCAGTCAGCCAAGATGTCTGTAATCATTTCACCATCATCGAATCCATCACCGTCATCATCACTAACGTGTCCAATTTTGGTAGCAAGCCAGTCTAAGCCATCTGTCAATGTCAACGAACCATCACCATTGTCATCACAGCACCATATCAATATACTCATGAGAAATTATTTCAGACAATCATGCGACCTGAACACTATCAGAGATTACGTTGGGGGGAGGCATGTACTGGGAGTTCACCTTGATGTCCTTTTCAGCCATCATGGAGGCAAGAGCTTGCATTACCCCTTGCTTTGAAAAGCTTTCAGCAGTGTCAGACTTTTTGGGTCCAGAAGACGATGCCCCATTCTGCCCTGCAGGTGGCGCTGAGCTGCCAGCAGTTTCTGCGACCTTGCCAGGTTCTGCATTCGCTGCAAAATGGAACCAATGCTGCTCAGAGCCAGCTCTAACCAAGGTCCCTTGACAAGGAAGTGGGCAGATTATGGGCAGACGTCTGTTCAACAGGAGCATTCCCTCCTCACAAGAGGGAACTTTACCTGCTGGCGGTGCCATTGCAAGCAGAGGCACTCGCAGACCAGCATGGCCCATTGATAAGGCGGCTGTGGCTGCATGATCTGCTTTTGGGGCGACCATGACGGCGAAGATTGCCACCGCCACCTTCTGAAGCTCATTCTCGGGCACCATTGGCACACCTGCACAGCAAAGGAAGGTACAGGTCCTCAAGATATCAGTCAAGAAGACTGTCCGATGAATGGCACGAGTCTTCACTGTCTCTCACATTGTCAGACACTAAACACCCCATGGACCTGACAGTGCCTCTACATGCTTTCATAGCATGAAACGCACACTGTGCTTTTGGAAACACCCAGTGTTGAGCATTGATCTCAGCCCTGTATATCGCACCCGTCAGGCACTGTGCAAGCACATAACCAGAAGCGCTGACCGCGCCTTCCACCTCTTCAAATTTGGCCGCCTTGCCCTCAGTCTTCTCCAGGGGCACGAGCAGAGAGCTCAGCAGTGTCAACACAGCGTCCCTGGACAACGCCATGGCAACAATGCCCAGCAGCCTGGCTGCCAAATCCCTGACTGCACAGCCAAACAAGAGCTTCGGTCCTGCTTCTGATTTGAATTGTGACAATTGGATGGTTCAACCAAGCATCACATAAACAGCAGGTCATAACAGTAAGGCATAAGTTCCCCTAGAAGACAGAAAGCAGGGTTCTGCTACAATGACTGGCATATTATAATCATAAGAGGAGCCCCACATGGAAAAACACAATCAGTCAACGTGAGCCTTGTGATGCAGGCTTGGAGGAAATGTACCTGCAGCATCGACATGCCCAAGGAAACCTTGCAGCCAGGTGACTCGGTGCCGGTAGTGGCCAGCGAAGGCAGGTGGATCAGCAGCCGCGACTTCCAGCACGGCTTCAAGCGCTGCCGCATGCAGTTCTGAGGGGCTGTCCCGCACAAGTGCATGCTCCAACAAGCCTGCCACAACACAACAAATTTATCCTCCGAGATGCATGCCTTGCAGAGATACAGAAGACTGAGCATCTTCAAAAACAAGTGTTTTATAAAGGAGCAATGGGGGTTTATATTATATAAACCCTAAACCCTAAATATATATAAAAAAACGAGCTAAGATATTCATCAAGCAACGCAGTTTGATCCTGGATCCTGCACCATGACGCCCTGGACCCCCTGAACCCATAGTGAAGATGAGGGCAGTCACCTAAGTACACCTCTGGCAGAGCAACCGAGGACGCATCATTTTTGGACCCGGTTGACTTGCGGCAACGGCGCAGGAAGTCGATCTGCCGCAGCACATGTAATTAGCTCACAGGATTACATGCCTGGCACACAAATGCCTGATTTGTGCTGCAACAGGAACAATGTTCTAATTACCATTATCATTTAAGGGCATGTCAATTAAGGGAGGCTCACTAATGCCAAGAAGGCCCTGTGCGGCATTGCTAGTGGCTTTGTTGACTCTGCTGCTGAGCGCATCCGGGGAATGCGGTCCCTGAAGTAATCCACAACAGCCGATGGCTCAGGGTAGGTCACCACAGAATTTTGCTGCGATGCCTCACCTGCAACAGCATAGCGCTGATGTCAGGAGAATTGATCCTGTTTGTGCGGGGGAAGAGTCTGAACAACGATATTTATCTGGAAGTGCTGCAGGGCGCTACTATGTCTCTGCCAGATGCACATCTATTGAGGTCTACAGGTCTATGGATGGAGCACACACCGCTTCTGCCTTCGCACTGACATAGATTGTTCTTAGTTTGAAGGCGAAGAGCACTTGGCCAGAGCTTTGCAGCACGACTGCCGCCACAGTGCAAGGGCAGTGCATATCAGACTTTCATAGCCCTCACATGGGTGTGGTGATAACCTGGTTGCGCCTTGGGTTCCTGGAGCCCGGCCAGGCCTGCTTCGCGGACCTCCAGCTTGGTGTCTCCCGCCGCCAACACGCACACATAGCGGGCAGGCACGTGATCGAACGGGAACAACCGCTGCGCCCACTGCGCTGCGCACAGCCGCGCCGCCTCCTCCTCTGCCTTCACTGCGTCCAGCAGCAGGGCCTCCACCTGCTGCGCCGCCTCGCCTGCATGTCAGATTCTATATTAAATTGCTGCACCTTCAGCTGACACAGCTTTACCACGGAAGTGCTTTACCAACTGTGGAGCTGACCCGACCCAGTAAAGTGACCCTCTCACACCATTAAGAATGTGCTGATAAATTAAAAAGTACAATTGTGCTCATTCAGGTCAAGCATGGCAGTGAAGCACTGTCAGTGGGTAGCGGCTGCACCAGAACAGCCGCAATGGGCTGTCGCAAGAGCGCTAATGGCCTCCTGCAGGGCGGCACGGACGCCAGCCTTCTCCGTTGAGAGTGCACTGAAGAAGCGAGAGGCGACAGCCGCATCAGAGCGGAAGAGAGCCGGTGCGCGCGTCGCCAGCTGGCCAATCGCCTGATATGTAAATCCCCGCAGCGCTGAAGATGGCGCATCCGTGCCTGCCAGCTCCTCTGCACCCAGAATGCATCAGTCACGCATTCTGTCAGAGATCAGGGATGTGACTCAAAAGATCGGCTTCCAAGTGGATATGCACAGACTGTTGGCAAGCAGTGGAGCAAGCAGTGAGTATCAATTAATTGCGCAGGAACATTCATCTGCACAAGCGCCAGCCAGATCCAATAGAATCAATCAGAAACAGGCATTGAATTCATGCTCTGGATCGCACCATCATCGAGAAGGTGCAATAATCCCCGCAGGAGAGGCGGCGCAGCAGCCTGCAGTGGTGCGGCTTCGGCGTGCTTAAATATCCACACCGCAAACTCCATGCCTGGCTGCCTGAGCCGCTGTGCGGTCGGGTCATAGACGCATGCAAAGACCGTCTGCACCGAGCAGCGCACAGTTGGACATTGCATTGTAACCCTGGCTGGATTCGCACAATTACTAGAACATATAAAGCAGGAACGAAAAGCAGCTGCCGAGATAAGCGTCCGCAGCGCCAACCGCACGATCAGCTACAGAGGTGCTGCCGTGTGCTTACCCGGAGGTTGTCTGGAAAGATGCTGGCAGCTGCTATGCTCCGGGAGAAGAGTCCAACAAGACGCGCTCGCACGGCTGGCGATGCTGACATGATTTGGCGCTCGCTGCTTGCTTCTTGTGCGCTTGGCTTGCTACCGTGAAACAGCAGGAACATGCGCTGGAGCAAACTTTTGTCCTCCAAGTTCACAGGAGGGCGCATGCCATCCGTGGCACACCTGAAAGGGGAAGTGCGCTTGACTGCCTGAAAATGCAAATTCACTGACCCACACTTACCTGATGCGTTCTTAGGCAACATGCTGGTCAGTGACAACAGCTGGTACTATGATATACTGGAAGGAGATTAGCCTCATCAAATATTGCAATTGTTCAGGCAGGTGATGTACCTCTTCCTTGAGAGCTCCTCGCCACGCCTGGCGACTGCATCCTGGGGATCCACAGAGGCCACCAGGTAATGGATCACCACCTCTCCAGGAGCAATGCCTGCCGCTGTTGTGAAATTCAGGATGCCAAGCTTCATGTTGGTCAGCGTCCTCTCTGCCACCATAGGAGAGTATCTGAAGGACTGCAGAATTGTGCTATTGCTCGTACCATGTTTCAGGCGTGGGCATTTGGACAGCTCTAAACAGCGATCTGGCATTGCTTTGATTGAATATAGTGTATATATATGGAATACAGTATTAACCTGCTTATGAGGACAAAATGGGCGCAAAGGTCTGCTAAGTAGGGTTGGGAGGAATCACCATCTGGGAGGCCCTGAGCTTTGCCCAGTAGAAGCTTCACATCCGCTTCTGACAGGCCGGGAGGCGGCGGTATGCGAGCCGGGCCTTGTGCTGGACCGCCATTTTGATGCAATGCCCCACTGCCCAACCTAGCCTGGCCCGGCCCTGCCGCGGTGAGTGTAGGTGACTCATCCATAGGCTCAGCGAGGGGCATGCCCGTCAATGCCTGCATCCAGGGCAGCAGTTTTAGTGACGTCTGTTATTGTTTCAGAGACACCCGAGGGATATTTGTGGTTCTTGAGCATTACAGATATAAGACGACCAGCATAAATTTCTAAAGATAGTGCACCTCGGCAACATCTGGGGACTCGTTCAGAAGCCAGTCGAGACTAGGGCCTGCAGCACGCTGAGGCCGTCCTGCTGGCTGAGAAGGCACCACTCGCGCGGCCACTGGTGGCTGGTACAACAGCACTTTCAGCGCAAAGTCAAGGAAGGCCTGCCTGTCTCCAGGAGAGGCCAAGAAAGGGTACCTGCATAAAGGAGCACCATGTCACTGCTTTATCTCCACTGCTTATGGCTGGGCTCTTCCAAGCACTGCCTGCTGCACATGTGTCGCCATGAAGCTGTCCCTTTATGATACCGCTGCGACATCCTCGCCCACTCAGCTCTATTGCCGTCGCAGGTTGATACAGGAAATAGCACATGTGGACTCACAACTTGATCTACAAGGGCGCTCGGGATATGAGGGCAGCACACCTGGCAGAGAACTCCTGCTCGGTGCCGAGCTTGTGCGCAGGTGGCGGACTGCTCAAGTGCGCGAGGCCGGTGGCAGCCATGCGGAGCAGCATCTCTTGGTGCTGCGCTGAACGACCCGATATGCCTCGCAGCAGCTCGCCCACGAGCGCCCCGCGTTCCTCTGCTGATGCGCGCTCGAAGGCCATCTCCACGTACACCAGCGCAAAGTTCCGCACGAGAGGTCCTGATGCTGGTGCATTGTAGAGGGCCAAGAGCGCTTCCAGCGGCAGAAGGATCTCATTGTGACCCTTGACACGCTTGTTGACGTGTGACAAAAGCTCCAGCACCTGCGGATGACGCGCAAGATGGTTGAGCTCTGTTCCTCAGCCAATGTCTCATGCTGTGATCCTCCCTGCTCGGTCTGTCTTCAGCACGGAACAGCAGGTGAATTCTGGCAAGACCTGCGATGCTGTATCGAGACTTTACCTTCTTGCGTGTCTGATCGTGTGGCGATTTCAGCTGGTCTATCACCACAGGCAGCAGCTTGCTCAACACCTGCCATACCAGATCAGGATGTCAGAGAAGGGCAGTGATGCCACCATGAATAACGTTGTCAAGACGCATGAAGCCGAAACATTGGTATTGACTTTTGAGGGCTTTTGAGACAGGTTAGCATGACAGAATTGGAAACAGAGGAAGGAGATGAACTGACGGGTGATGCACCTTTTCGAGCTGTGCTTCCTCCGTGAGCGCAAGGCGCGTCAACACTCGGTCAAGACTCGCAATTTCGGTCTCAAAAGATGCCATGTTGAACAAACTATGCGATCTTTGTGATTCCTATTCTTTTCGTTTTACACTGCAGCAGTCCTCGGAGTCATCGAAGATGTGTTCCAGCGCCTCGTAGCAACATAGGATTTCTAAGATGAATCACACGATTGATTTCATCTCTGCAATTCTGTCTTCCCGTCACCGAAATGTTGGAAAAAACGAAAGAAAGAAAGACACAAAGCACCAACTGGAGACCCGGGGGGTCCCCATCACGTGCGTACGGGCTCTAACCGGGGGGCCACGCAGAGGACATCACTAGTAAAGGGCTAGCCTCATCATCAAAAGGGAAACGCGAGGGCGGATTATGGACACGAGTGGTGAGCCGCGAGGCCGGCGGGGACGTTGGGGGCGGGTGTTGGCCAGAGGAGCTGGCGCGGGGGTGCAGTCCCGGGTCCTAGGCCCTGGCGCGGAGCCCGGGCGGTTGAGCAGCGGCGGGGTAGAGAGTTGTGAGTGGTAGCGGTGGTCGCGGGGTTTAGGTTTAGGGTTCAGGGTTTTGGGCTTGGCCCCAATGGCCAAATGCGAATCTCCTAAAAGTAGTCACCGGTGCAACGTTAACGCCCCAACTTGGAACGTCAGAAAAACCGGTTTCTCTGAAACAATGGTATTGATTCAATAGATTCCATTAAGTCAAGGGGTCTTCGCCTAAATCAACCCTGACTGGCAACCAGCTATTTGACTATCATCCAGACTTGGCCCTACATCCAGAACCATCACAGACTGTCATCCGACCGTCATAAATCTTAATCCCAAGGTTCTTGCTTTCTCTTGACTATCATTCAGACTTGGCCCTAAACTCTGAACCATCACAGACTGTCATCCGACCGTCATAAATCATCATCCTAGGGTTCTTGCTTTCTCTTGACTATCATTCAGACTTGACCCTACACCCAGAACCATCATAGACTGTCATCCGGCCGTCATAAATCTTCATCCCAGGGTTCTTGCTTTCTCTTGACTATCATTCAGACTTGGATCTACATCCAGAACATTCACAGACTGTCATCCGGCCGTCATAAATCTTCATCCTAGGGTTTCTGCTTTCTCTTGACTATCATTCAGACTTGGCCCTACACCCAAAACCATCACAGACTGTCATCCGGCCGTCATAAATCTTCATCCTAGGGTTCTTGCTTTCTCTTGACTATCATTCAGACTTGGCCCTACACCCAAAACCATCACAGACTGTCATCCGGCCGTCATAAATCTTCATCCTAGGGTTCTTGCTTTCTCTTGACTATCATTCAGACTTGGCCCTAAACTCTAAACCATCACGGACTGTCATCCGGCCGTCATAAATCTTCATCCTAGGGTTCTTGCTTTCTCTTGACTATTATTCAGACTTGGCCCTACACCCAGAACCATCACAAACTGTCATCCGGCCGTCATAAATCTTCATCCTAGGGTTTCTGCTTTCTCTTGACTATCATTCAGACTTGGCCCTACACCCAAAACCATCACAGACTGTCATCCGGCCGTCATAAATCTTCATCCTAGGGTTCTTGCTTTCTCTTGACTATCATTCAGACTTGGCCCTAAACTCTAAACCATCACGGACTGTCATCCTATATTTACACCTAGTGTTTTGGGGTTGGGGTGTCCAAAAATGGACCCCGGTTTTAAGGGTGATCTTGGGCAATTTTGATGTGCTGATCACGCCTATGAAGTCCTAACTTGAAAATTCGACCTCCTTGGCTCTCTATAAGGCCTCAAACATGGTTTCAAGCTAGGGTTTGCATAGGGTTGGCTCTAGCTTCTTGGGATGGGGCCTATGGTATGGTGGAGAGGCATGCAATGGGGCCCACACATGTGGGGCTTTCATTTGATGCATGTCCCACCAAAAGTTTACAAGCCAATTTTGAGTCAGCACTCCTTTTATGGAATCCATATTTCCCCTGTCTCACCTTTTGAGGCTCTAGCTTCTTGGGATGGGGCCTATGGTATGGTGGAGAGGCATGCAATGGGGCCCACACATGTGGGGCTTTCATTTGATGCATGTCCCACCAAAAGTTTACAAGCCAATTTTGAGTTAGCACTCCTTTTATGGAATCCATATTTCCCCTGTCTCACCTTTTGAGGCTCTAGCTCTTTGGGATGGGGCCTATGGTATGGTGGAGAGGCATGCAATGGGGCCAACACATGTGGAACTTTCATTTGATGCATGTCCCACCAAAAGTTTACAAGCCAATCTTTAGTTAGCACTCCTTTCATGGAATCCATATTTCCCCTGTCTCACCTTTTGAGGCTCTAGCTCCTTGGGATGGGGCCTATGGTATGGTGGAGAGGCATGCAATGGGGCCCACACATGTGGAATTTTCATTTGATGCATGTCCCACCAAAAGTTTACAAGCTAATCTTGAGTTAGCACTCCTTTTATGGAATCCACATTTCCCCTGTCTCACCTTTTGAGGCTCTAGCTCCTTGGGATGGGGCCCATGCTATGGTGGAGAGGCATGCAATGAGGCCCACACTTGTAAGGCTTTCATTTGATGCATGTCCCACCAAAAGTTTACAAGCCAATCTTGAGTTAGCACTCCTTTTATGGAATCCATATTTCCCCTGTCTCACCTTTTGAGACTCTAGCTCCTTGGGATGGGGCCTATGGTATGGTGGAGAGGCATGCAATGGGGCCCACACATGTGGGGATTTCATTTGATGCATGTTCCACCAAAAGTTTACAAGCCAATTTTGAGTTAGCCCTCCTTTTATGGAATCCATATCTTTCATGGCTACATATTGAGCCTGTTTTGTCACGTGTCTGCACGATGCCTTTCTCGACCTGCATGCATTGCTATTCACCATCGTTTGCATCTACTCTCAAGCTTTCCATAGCCCCAAGGATGGATGAAATCCATGAGGTACAGCCCTTGAAACCACTTCTCAAAGTTCTGCTTGCATGCCCATGCATGGTTGCAGATTGGGCAAGTTGTGCACATGCATATACATATGTTGGAGTTGGCAACTTTAAGATTATGCCGGATAACACGCCCTACCTACATACCTATTGCTCATGGCCACCCCATTCATAGTCGAAAGTGCAAGGTAGGAACCAACCTCTCCAAGTGTATGGCTCTCGGCCATCCCATTCATAGTCAGTCCTAGCATGCAACAACCAACCTCTCCATGTCTACATTCTAAGGTCGTCCCATTCATAGTCACAAGTGCAAGGTAGGAGCCAACCTCTCCAAGTGTATGGCCCTCGGTCATCCCATTCATAGTCAGTCCTAGCATGCAACAATCAACCTCTCCGTGTCTACATTCTAAGGTCGTTCCATTCATAGTCAAAAGTGCAAGGTAGGAGCCAACCTCTCCAAGTGTATGGCCCTCGGCCATCCCATTCATAGTCAGTCCTAGCATGCAACAATCAACCTCTCCATGTCTACATTCTAAGGCCGTCCCATTTACAGTCAGCGCGACCTGGCAGACCAACCTCTCCGTGATTGTGCACAATCACGTGGCCCGAGGCCCCCATTCATAGTCAGCACGCCAAGCCGCTTGTCTAACCTCCCCATATCTATGGCCTCTCACCGTATGGATCCCATTCATAGTCAGTCTCGACAAGCAAGTACCAACCTCACCATCAAGCCCTACTTGAACACTGATATTTTTTTTTTTTATTTTTTTTTATTTTTTAGGGAGGTTGGGGTTCAGTATCTAGCTTTGCCTCCCATGTGAAGCCATGCATGCTGTAGGGTGGCATACCCCCTTGGCTAAGTTTTATATATAGCCCTTTTCAAGGGGTGAATGCATGGCTTCAAGGGGATTCCATCTAATGGCACCTATGCCCAAGACCTACTTTCCCATGTTGGCATGTAACTTGGCAACACTTGGCAACACTTGGCAAGACTTGGCCTTGGGCTGCAGATGACCACTGCCCCGGCTCACACTTGTTGTGTGGGATGTATGAGACCCCTTTGTGAGATCTGAGGGCCCTTGGACCCACTGCACAAGCACAGCACATGCTCCAAGTGGGCACAGGATGCAGCCATGCACCTGGCATATGTATACACCATGCTGCACACCTGCACAGGGTGCCGCTTCACTTGGCACCCATGCAGGATCATGTATGGGCCCCATATGAGTCCTCCCAGCCATGCCAAGGGTCTTGGATCGCCTGCACACCTCCAAGGCAACCCCATGTGCCTTGCAAGCCACTGCAAACCTTATTTAAATTCACACCCACCTCCATAAATTGTGAGCCACCTATATTTAGGGTTTAGGGTTTAGGGTTTAGGGTTTGGGGTTTGGGGTTTGGGGTTTGGGGTTTAGGGTTCAGGGTTTAGGGTTTAGGGTTTAGGGTGTAGGCTGTAGGGTGTAGGGTTTAGGGTTTAGGGTTAGGTTTAGGGTTTAGGGTTTAGGGTTTAGGGTTTAGGGTTTAGGGTTTAGGGTTTTAGGGTTTTAGGGTTTAGGGTTTTAGGGTTCAGGGTTTAGGGTTTAGGGTTTTAGGGTTTAGGGTTTAGGGTTTAGGGTTTAGGGTTTAGGGTTTAGGGTTTAGGGTTTAGGGTTTAGGGTTTAGGGTTTAGGGTTTAGGGTTTAGGGTTTAGGGTTTAGGGTTTAGGGTTTAGGGTTTAGGGTTTAGGGTTTAGGGTTTAGGGTTTAGGGTTTAGGGTTTAGGGTTTAGGGTTTAGGGTTTAGGGTTTAGGGTTTAGGGTTTAGGGTTTAGGGTTTAGGGTTTAGGGTTTAGGGTTTAGGG